ACTTTCGGGTACTTGGCATCAGGAAAGGCATCCCTGGGCTACAGTAACACAACCAGATCACAGAACGGGATAAGGGGCAGAGCAGGCCAAGGCAACTCCACCCAGTGCAGGGAAGAGTGTGTCCCAAGACCCACATACAGAGGAAAGCTCAGAATGTTGCAGTCCCTGAAAGTATTTATGCTGTCAGTGGAGATGAGACAGATGATACAGCCCGGGGCCCCATGGTGGGTGGAAGCCCGGAAATCCACAGGAGGAATAGCTGATTTAATCCTAGGAACAAAGATCACCAGGTTGAAGGGGGAACTATACCATCTGATTTACTTCTCGCAAACTGCATTGGTGCTAAATGAAAGCGGAGAAAAAGAAAACAGGACGTTCATCCCTTGACTGAGAGAGTAAACTGTGGAGGAGGAGTTTCTAGTTGCAGGGAAGAAGGTGTTGGAAGTGTCCCGCTCCTGAAGGACATCTCGGTGGACAAGGCCCTGGGATAAACGTTCTCAGGCACACGGATGGATGAGCTTGGAAGACAGGTCTGCCCAGCAGACGTGCACTCGAGGGTTAGTTCCTTCCCTAGAGCAGATGACGCTGCCGAGGACAGGATGACAACTCTGTGAGTACGTGATGTGCCCCTCGCTACCTAGGGAGACCTTACCCTGAAAACCACTATTGAGATAGACCCTTTGCTGGAAGCTGCTCTGTCTAGTGGCTCTTCCTTCAGCGCCACAGGCTCCCAGGTTCTGTCCTTTTCTCGTGCGACAGTTTTCACTCTTTACTGACTGATTATTTTTATTGACCTTTTCCTCTATGTACTTCCCTTTGCGCTTCCTTCCCACATCATCATTATTATTATTTCTATTTATTTGTCCCTCCATGTACTTTTCTCAAATTTTCATCTGTGTGNTTGGGGATCACTGGTCTCTGCAGAGAGACAAGGACATGATGAGTCGTGGGGTGCCCTGGACCCAGCCCTCAGCATGCTCGTGCCATCTGCAATGGGAAACCGGGTGTCTGTTCCACATGCCAAGAGCCGCGCTGTCCTGTCCTTGTCCCTCATCTGGCTGCGTTTCCTCCCTTCTCTCCCCTTCTCAGGGTCCGACCTCCGGCTGCCTCCACCACTGCTGGATCCCAGCTGTGGCTCCCCCGCTGTCCGGGCTTCCTCCCTCTGGCTTCTGGTGTCTGTTGCTTCTGTCTTTCTCTTTTTCAGTGACACCGTAGCCCTTTTCTATCATGCGTGTAGCTCTCATTCTAGATCTCTCCTATCCCAATGGGTGGGCTCCCTTCTTGCGCTCTCTGTACCATTCTTGTGTGCTCTGTCTCTCCGTGACTTTTCTTCCCTCCCCCCAACATTATTTTTTTACTTAAAGTCAGGCCCTGGTCCACTCCTCCAGGAACTTGCAGAACTTCCTCATTCTGCTCTGACTCGGTGACCCTGTCCTGTTTGTCCAGCTGGGCCTGCACAACCATCACCCCGTGACACACCCAGGACGCTGCCGCCACCTCTTCCTTTCCTACTTGCAGAAATAACCTTCACGCACTTTTGTGCTTTCTTTTGCTGTCCGTGAAACAGAGGTGATGACAGTTTGCTGCCTATGCCTCAGG